TTAATGGGAACTAAATGATCGATTCAACCTCTGGTGGTGAATAGAGTGAGCAAAAATGTTTGCCTTGAGACATAGGAAGCGGAACACTTTTTTACTTTTCCTGATAAATTGATTCATCTGAGATGCTCGAAAACTTAATCTACAGTTGTAAAATTTAATTCTGTAACGTTTTTGCAAAGATCCTGCTGGTGTTCAGGAATATTTTTGTTGAAAAACAGGAAGATAAGAAAAGTTCCTTAGTGGTTATGATCTTCCGGACTTCTTGTGAGTGAATAGTTAAGGTACAAATCAGTTCAGATCTGTGGAAAATCGTACAATAAGACAATTACCGATAGAAATTGGCAAGATGTTGAATGAAAAATGCTTTAATTTGCGTTGTGAAAATTAGTTATTCTGATGTAAACAAACGGTTTGGTTGACGTTTCTTCTCGAACTTGCGTGGCGCACTCTACGTTGGTGGTGCATTAAAAAGGCGTACTGGCGATTATCTAAAGATGATATTTTTCCGTTTAAGGCAATATATGCTGAATATATCAACATATTTTTTTGATATTTTCAATTTCTAGATTTAGACTTAAAAACAAAAGTATCCCTAGAACAAACATTTTTCAGCACACAAATCTATAATTGTAGGATAAAAGGTCGATGGACACAAGGTTGAAAGATAAAAGGCCGAAAGACAAAAGGTTGAAGGGATAAATGGTCGAAGGGACAAAAGGTTGAATGTACAACAGGTCGAATTGAACTCATAGAGACAAACGGTCAAATGGACAAAAGGTCGAATGTACATAAGATCGAATGTACAAAAGGTCTAAGTGGACAAAAGGTTTTTGTAGACAGAAGGTCGAAATGGATAAAAGGTCGAAATGGACAATGGTTAGAATCTGTTTTTAAAGTCTTTATATAAGGTGGTTGGTTGTCTATATTAAGGAGATTTTCAGCCAAACGCTGGTTCATCTCCGGCGCCTTTATATAAGAGATTTTTAGCCGTAGGCTAGTTCATCTAAAAAAGTTTGAATGTACAAATGGTCGAAATGGACTAAAGGTCGATTGTAAGAAAAATGGGTCGCTAACTCTCAAATATATTCCGTTCTTTAAATCATGAGCAGATCTTAGGAAAATTAAATTAACGAATAATTACTGAGCGTGTCACGGAAATTTATGATACAAATAACTGCCATTCTCTGGATTATATTCCTTCGCATGGGCAGTTTTTTTGGAGTACTTTTTAAAATTATTTAAGCGAATTGTTAATGTTAATTTTGATGTTGGTTCTTTGGTCATTTATCTATTTCGACGTTTTGTACATTTCGGCCTTTTGTTCACTCGACCTTTTGTCCATTCGACCTTTTGTCGGTTTTGACCTTTTGTTCATTCGACTTTTGGCCCTTCGACCCTTTGTCCATTAGACCTTTTGTCTTTTAGACATTTTGTCCCTTCGACCTTTTGTTATTCGACGATTTATCGTTTGTCTTTCAACCTTTTGTCATAGATTTGCCTTGGGTAAACACTAGTTTTAGCTTGATTTGGCGTTCTGGCGTCATTTTATCGTTTTAAGGGGAAACGGGATGTCATTAATTTTTGGAAATTAGCGGCGTCGGTGGTGTAGTGGTAAGCGTGATTACCTCTCACCCCAGCAGGCCTGGGTTCAATCCCGGGATGTTCTGAGGCATAACATCTCTGATCACGCCTTCCTTCGGAAGGGAAGTAAAGCCGTTGGTCCCCGGTTCATAAGTTGATGGGTCGATAAGTAGGGTCCAGGTGTGGAAGCTTCCTCCATGGCGTCGGTAGCATTGGTGCTCAGCACGGAAAACAAAATCGACGGAAAACAAATCAAGGAAAAAAAAAATTTTGGAAATTCAAAAGCAGTTTTATCTTTTAAACCCGAAATTCTGTCAATGACAATGTGTTCGCTGTGTTCCGGTAGGCAAGTAGAGTGCAATGAACACATTTTCATTGATGTTATTTTGGTTTTGTATCAAAAATTCTGGTTTTGAATTTTTGGAAATTAATTTCGTCCACTTTCACCTTAATGCTATTTCGTGGTTTTGATGGCTTCTATGTGGAGTTTCAAGCCATTTTGCTGTTTTGGAGCTTTTTGTTTCAATTGTTAAGATTAAGGTAAACATTTTTTTCAAATTAAAGTGTGGTGTTTAGAGCACTTTCATAAAAAAAAAATTACTACATTATTCCGACGGCTTTCTAATAAAATAGTGAACCTTCTTTAAAATTTCTGCCATCATCTGTTGCACACGCTGCTGATAAGTTTTATTCTCCACTTTCTAGCCATCTCGCAGCACCCCGGTTACTTTGCCAATCTTTTTCACCTTCCGCCTTGAAAACTGCCCAATATTTCCTCGACTCGTGGGTTGATAAATGTTTTTTTTTTTCGATTAAATCCACCCTGTTGTCATGGTACCACTGAAGTACTTCCTGGCTGTAGAGGCAGCTTGTCAAACCTAGGCAAATTTAGGCAAATCTAGGGAAAGCTTGACAGGACCTTTGTGTGACTTAATGCGTTTTTCCAAGCATTCTTGCTTGTGTACTTCCGAATCCATCGTATTTTTTTGTAATAAAAACATTGGCTTTTAGTTTACGGCTACTTAAACTTCTGGATATTTCAAGTAATGTTTCTAGAATCCTAACTGAAATCTTGGCGATAATAGAAGGCTCATCTTTACAGTATTGTTTTTGTTAACAATAGTTACTCAGGATCCGTTACTGATACAAGCCTCCGTCTCCCATCCCGAATGCCCGCACCATCCTTTTCAATCCAGCTATCAAATTTTGTACAACCTATTTTCTCAGTGTTTTTGTTGTTTTTACCCAAATTTTCTTCAACTACAGCTCTGTTTTAATAGTTTTGGGATGTTCTCGAAGTTCCGTCTTCATAATTGTCCAGAATTTTTCAATTGGGTGAAGCTCCGGTGAATTTGGGTTCATATCTTTTGGTACAAAATTGACTCCGGTAGCTCGGTACCACTCCAACACGTTTCGATCGTAGTGGCAGAATGCTAGATCAGGTCAAAACATAGTTGATCCTTTGTGCCTCCATGCTTGGAATGCACAGTTGTACACACCAACTACTCATTTGTTAATAACTTTTCACTCAGTTGTTGAAATTTGTTTTTCTTTAAAGTAATTGATAGATTAGAATCATAGCTTACTATAGATATGCAAAGAGTAGGTAAATCTTAATATTTGAATCAACACCAATGAATTTTTAGTGTGCCTCCTAATGAAAGGCAAGAGACGCTTCTTAAGGCACTCTTCCGTGTAAATCGCACCGTTGATTGTTCCGGAAGTGATGAAGGGAGCGCTTATTTCACCACATCCGCAAATCGCCTGCCAGATCAGGAGCTTCTTTGCAAATTACGTTAATTTATTCTTTCGAACATCCTCCGCAACATCGAACTTAGACTCGGTGACGAAATATTCTTGTCCAGGAAGTTGACGGAAGTCGGATTTGACGTAAGTTTTGTCATCCATCACGATGCAATACGATTTGGTGAGCAACTTTGTGTAAAGTTTCCGGGCGCCGGTTTTCGCAGTGATGTTTTGCTTTTCATTCCGGTTTGGGGCTTTTTGCACCTTGTAAACATGTAACCGAGCACGCTTCATGGTGTTCTGCACAAAACCGACTGACCGCTTGGACTTTATAGCGACATCTCGAATTGACATGTTTGGACGGTTTTTGAACTGTTGCACCACTTTCCTCACAATTTTACTGTCCATTGGACCACTTTTACGACCACTCACTTCCTTCCTTCGGGCACTCAGATGATCCTTGAAGGTTCTTACTATAATTCCAAGCTTTTTAGAGAGCGGTGGGACGGATTGTAAGTGCACATTTTTTTTCACGGACAATTTCTTGTTTCGACGACACGACATGAAACTACTGTATGAATAACTATGAAAGTTTACAATATGTAAACAATACACTATGAATAAGATTTACTCAAATTTTCAGGTTTTTTACTCATACGTTTCAAAAGTTACAGAAGATTTTCGGTGTGCCATTTTTACCGAATACACCCTTTAAATAACTGAAGCAGATCCCAACATCCTATTTCAAAAATGGATAGCGAATTGTAAGGATAGATAAAATAAGTTTGGAGTAACAAATGAAAAACATAGTAATTCTCCGAACCTCCTTAAAAGATATGAATAGCTTCTTTGCCGGATACAAATCCATTGGAATTTTCCGGTTGAAGAATTTTAGACCAACATGTGAACTGGGCCTCTGTACTAAACGTACACAAATACTTTAAACGTCGATTTATCGCGGATAAGGTCTCATTCAGACAAACCGACATCAGATCTGGTAGAGAAAGTTTACTTTATCAAATGGTATAGTTAGTTTGCGTGGGCGTGTTGTGAATCACAACTTGTGATTCGTGAACAGTCGACGTTCAAAGTGATTGGTTACGGTTGACGTGTAGTCCCTTTTCACACATTGCTCGAGAATTATGATGATGATAGATTTAACCGTTATGTGCATCACGAGGTATCCGGGTACTCAGCTCCCATTTGAATAACACGGGGTAGAAAAAAGCAAATAAATCCTCACGGACAGAAGGGTTAAGAACCCCATCCTGTGCATCCTGTTGTACTTCAATATGTTAGTAACAGCACCCTAAAAGAACCAATAAAAATATCTTGCCGATTCAAAATGATTTTTTATTTTGATTCACTTAAATATTTGGGCCAACCCAGTAAAATATAATATGGCAGTGTATTGTTCAATAATAGTAGTCCCATTCACCAAAACACATGCTCACGAATTCGTTGCTTGTTTTTGTTTTTCAATTATGCATTTTGTTTCTACCAACCATGTTTAGAACTGTCTACAGTATTTAATGAGTAATGCATTTAATTTGATCCGCTTGACAAACACATCAATTTCTATAAACAAGAACAGTCTTTGCGCTGAGATACGCGCTTCTACCACCAACACTTCCTGAACCGCCAAAACATCAAGAATGCAAATTTATTCTCACCTCCGTTCGTCCGTCCGTTGCTCCTCAAGCACTTATCAGCTGATTTGTTTTCTCAAAACACAAAATCGATATTTTCTCGTCTCGTTTCACGGTCCCACACTTCTGCTCTGAGTACATTTGCCACTTCCTTCTGCTCGGGAGAAATTGTTTTCCTTGCTTCACAAACACACACACTGCCGGTTGCTTATGATTTCTATGTTGCTTTGTGTCATAATCCAAAAGTTACTTGATTATTTATTTTATTTTTTATTCATAAACACATATACACTTTATTTGTTGTATTTACAATTTATAAAGACAAACATACCCTTTTTTAGTTTGTTCCGAAATAGTCAATTTTGGCCGCAGAAAGTGTTCACTTGATAAAATAAGAAATGTCCGAATAAACTAATATGTACTTTTAGTTGATTCCAAACGTTTGAAAACGAACAAATTAGAAAGAAAACTGATGAAGAGGATTATAGCAATTGTTCACATTTTTGTGGTGTAGCTTCTGCGTATTGCGGAATGGAAGTTATATTCCCACGCGAGGAGATGCACTTGTTGGAGAAGATTCAATCCATTTTGGCTGAGGTTCTTTCCCAAAGAATCACGATTTACGCCACAATCAACTGTTTTCTCTGTTATCTCACTTTATTTCACATTCTCGATGATTCCAAAAGTCTAACACATTTTTTCCTAGTTCCGATATTTTTGCGGATTGTAGAAAACAGCATCCATATCGTGAAACTCACACAAAAATGTTTTCCACTGGTTGACTCTTTTTTTTTTGGTGATGTTAGTGATGGAAGGTGAGTTTTCAATTTTCCTGGATGCTTGTAGGCCAAATCAGCTATCAAAGGCGGAAAAACTGCAGCTGCTTGCTCTCACCTTTTCCTCCCGTAGAAAGTAAGGGTGATCATGCTGCGGGATGATACTTTTCAGATCATAATCCCTCTCAGGAGACACTTTTCATGGATTCGTCATGTTTTCATTTTAGTAAATTTCACACATGACCTTTTTATGGCTGGTGTCGTTCTTCTCGATATGGCCTCAAAAAGTAATAAAGAAAATCGCTCACTCTCGAACAAAAGAAAATCGCTTTTCCGCAGTTTTTGTTGCCTCCTATTCAGAAGTTGTTCTTTTTCTTATTTGTGTTATTTATTCTCGGTGGAAAACCGCTTTGTGCATCAGTCACGTTGGAAAAACAGAAGGCGAAAAACTCGACGACAAACGGCGAGATGACGGGGCAGGAAAAATTTCAAATACACAAAAGAAGATGCAAGGAAAACTCAGCGTTGTATGGACCTTTTTTGCAATGTTGGTTTGGCGCACATTGATGAACAAAATAATAATGTTTCTGCGGAGACCGGCGACCGAACGGATAAAGAGTACATTACAAACTGTTTTTCTGTTGTCTATTTTAGTATTGGCATGGTTGTTTTGGAGCCTCTGCGGAGCGCGTCCAACATCCAAGCGTAACGGTGAGAGCGGGAGAAACACAAATCTCACGAGTCGCGAACGCGAATCCGGCATATTGGGGATGATGCTCACGGGTTCTGCTTCGACTGATGCGAGAGTTACCGGTACCTACTTCCTTTGCTGTATGTTGCATGCTTTGGCGATCGGAACTCAATGAAAGGATGCTTGATGTTTCACTCAGAGGGTTGAGCTTCAGATCACGCTCTAACTGGAACTTTTTTCGTCTGTCGTCAACTTAGTGTTCTTTAATCACTTCCACAGTTTTAAACCAAGTTGCACAAATTCATAGGTGGTACAAGGCTTAGATTATTGTCAGATTTATGTAGACGTCCATCCGTTACCTCAAGTCACCTCAAGGCAGCAATTTTGGATTAATCACTGTCTCAAACCCCACACGCATCAATATATTGACGCGAAGAGAAATTATTGACAATAATATTGATGATGTGAATTCAGAAATATTGTCAATCTCGATGTATTGACGTCAATATAGAATGTATTGACAATACGATTATTGTCAATAAAAGCAATCGTGTAGGGTCCACTTTAAGCAATCACGGGCAACAATATTGTCAATACTATTGTCAATACTTAAAATACTGAAAACGAATATATTGATGAGCATTTTGACGCAAATTCAAAAGTTACGAAATGACACAATAATGTTAGTGAGGAGCGACCCTGTGTTGATTACACCCGAAAATATTGTTAAAAATATTGACATGAACATACTGATGGGAATATTGACGAGACTTCTGTCATGTGGGGTGCCCTTTAAGTGGACGATTGCTTTTATTGACAATAATCATATTGTCAATACGGTCTACATTTACGTCAGTACATCGATATTGACAATGTATTTTATTGACATGTATTCACATCATCAATATTATTATCAATAATTCCCCTTCGTATTTTAGTAGGAAAGGTAAGCATAGGATACGTTTATTAAAAATTTCTTATAATGTTTCAAACTGCTGCTCGTTGGTTAAATTAAATTAATTTGCGTTCACTTATCTTGCTATGGGTTTTATTTACACATAGCAAGGTATGTGAGCTTTAACTCCTCCTTGGTAGAAAAATTTCCTTTCATAAAAGTGAGGCTGCTAAGAATGATGAAACCAAAGTAACCAACAAGCCCGATAAGCATTGGCGTCGCTAGAAAAAAAAACTACGGTTAAATAAAAACTCGCGAAGATGCTATTCATTCAAATTGTATCAAGGCAACTTGTTTTTGGGTACATTTTTTTCTATGATCCATAATATGACTTTAAAGCTTACTATTATTTCAATGGTGAAACAATAAATTTTATTATATTTATTTCTCAACAACGATTCGGACCTCGTTTTGGGGAGCCTTACTGATTTTGAACAAGCAACAATCGTTTGTTTGAATCTCCGTCCGGATCTCCTAAATTTAAGCATCTCAAACTCAAAAATTCTTAAAGTTAGATAATTCCATGAATTTTGTAACTAGCTTTTTTGGCCTTTGATTAATCTCAGACATAGGCACCAAAATTAAATTCTGTGAGTTTGTAAAGTGCACACAGAATGAATTTCAAGGTTGGAGGGTTGGGAAGGGTATTCGGTTAGGATTCACCTCAAGTTGACGATGCAACCAAAAGTATGTATTGTTTATTTGCTGTTTATTTAATCTCTAGATAGCCGGCTATCGAAAGAAGATATTCATTTTGTTTAGTGATCATGAATTTTAAGAGTCATGACGGAGAGCTTGGGATTAAACCCATGATTTTCTGCTCAGTAAGCAAAAACGATCCCTCCAGGGTCATCGAGCATCTCAGAACCATAACGCTTCGCGAAAATACAGGACTACGTTTTCGCTTGATATGCAAATAGTTTCCGAGGTTAATGTTCAATATCAAATATACAAATGATGGTGGCGATTTATTGTGCTGTGGAAGGGCTTGGGGTTAAATCCATGATTTTCTGCTCAGTAAGCAAAATCGATCCCTCCAGGGTCATCGAGCATCTCATAATCCACAGCGCTTCGCGTCAAAGTACGAATATATGGATGAACAATCTATTATTGAATAACTATTATTTACGATAATTACATGAAAGAAATAAAATATAAACTACAAACAAAACGGGACTGCTAAAATCTCAAAAAGATATTCCCACAAATATATTTCACGCAACCAGGAATCTCAAAACCATTAGGCGCTCTAATGATACTCCGCACATGTTAGGCACAAGAAAAGGCCAAAAAGCAAGCGTCCGACACACAAAACCCTCCAGATCCACTTGCAGTCACAATCAAAGATTCTACGAATCACGAGCGCTCACGAATCATAAAACCGCTGACTGCGACACCCTGAAAGCGAAATTGACTGGTTATATGCGTCAAACACTCGCCCTCCAATCTCCTCCCGCATCCAACAACACAAATCTCCATTACAACATCTAACGAATTCAAAACTCCGAAAATCACTCATCTATAGCAAGTGAGTGGAAGCAACCCTGCATGCAACCATTCTTCATGATACACTTTTTCTGTCTATCTTTCTATTAGGCCTGTGGACATGCGTTAGCTTCGAAACTTCTAACCAAACTGGGAAAAATTTCAGATCACAAAAAAAAATCTTTCAAAGGTAATTAGTAACAAGTAAAATAAAAATTGATAATTTTACGCAAAAATAAGCAAGTAATATTAAATCTCTTGTATCGTATGCTAATTCTAATTGACTGTAACAAAAATAATATGCTTAAATAAAATAAAATATTAATAAAATGATATGCAAAATTTACTAGAAGGTCATTACTTTATTGGTGAGAAGTTTCTAATAAGCCCTCCCAGTTCCTCTGTATACAGAACAAATCTGATACTATAATCAGAATTGCTCAGTCTGCATGAAGCAGCCGATTTCATCAAGGAAGTTCTATTAACAACCAAGAATTAATCGTTTGAGGCATACTGAAGCATTAAGAAGGTGATATGTGTCACTATAGGAAATCATCATCGTTGCAATTATAAAGAAATTAAACATAACCCTTTGTTTCAGTACCGTCAACCTATGTCCATGGGGAGGGTTACCTCCCGTGACCAGACATGCTATGCCTCAGAAAATCCCGGCGGCGCCGACTGGGATTGAGCCCACTATGCCACCAGCACCGCTTAATTTCAAGATATTTGTCCATTACACTGATGCAAAATTTGACTTTTTCGCTCCACAATACTTAAACGATTCCAGATCGGATCCTGACTAACCTCTCAAAATTTGAACCCCTTTGGTGAGAAACTGAGATGGCAGAAACCATTTGAAGTTTGTATGGGAATTACTATGGTAAAACCAAGATTTTTGTTCATGTCTATCTAATAATTCACCATATCGGTCTGCTTCAAAAGCTTTCGAAATTTTCCCAGCTACAACTTTACCGAAGACCACTTTTTGATTAAATGCAAGGATCGAAAGTAATCAATGGTTCAATGCGCTGATGTCTAATGATCATGCTCAATCAACTGCTCAGCAGGCAACATTGGTGTTTCTGGAGCGTTGAATAGGACACAAAAATCATGGCTACTATGTCACACTGCAAAATACAGTGTTGCCTACAGAGCAGCTGCTTGATCATGTCATAAGTTTACCAATCTCTTAAATAATTAATAACTTTTTCCTGTCTCGTTTTACATAGAAACGATCTTCAGCAAAGTTGTAGCTGAGAAAATTTTCTTTAATAATGGCTATCGAACTGTTTCGCAGCTCAATATGGAAAAAAGACTAGAAGGCAATGAGATTTCCCATAGTAGTTTACATGTAAACTTCAAATGGCTTGTGCGAAGTCTGTTTCTAACCAAATGAGTTGTAACTTTGGGAGGCTAATCAGGACCCGATTTGAAACCATTTAAGCACTGTGGAGCGAAAAAGTCAATTTTTGCATCAGTCTATTCCCAAGAAACAATCGTCCATTGAAGAAACGACTTCTTAGCCATTTTATTCAACTGCATGCTTAATAGTACTTGTACTATTTTTAATAATAACTTCTGTTCAGGCTTTGTTCACACAAATCTGGAGAATTTATTCAACCACAAGATCGAAATATTTGGTGTTGCATAAGGTATGTCGAGAAGCTTTTATTCGACTTACAAGAGTTCTAACAGAGCTTATTCGATCAAATTTTTGATTATTCAGCGTTTATAAGACATCACTGCTTCCTTAAAACAGTGATGCTCTGTATTAACGCTTGATTCTCATGTGAAGTAACATTTAATTAGACATTATTATACATTTATTGAACGATTATTCAACTGTGGGAAAATTAATCCGAAAATAAGAAGGACGGGAACAGGGAAGGGTGTGTTTCTTAAGTGTTGTTTTATCCATTATTTCTGACGTGGCTCGCACCACACAGAATTAGAAAATTTATTAAATACTTATACATGTCGTTGTATGGGATTCGAACCATGTACCTTCCGATCACCAGCCACTTGCCTTGTCATCTGAGCTATCCTAGAATTCATCATATTGGCACTACCGATCGCAACTCTAGCTCCTTCAAGGCCCTGTGGGAATGATTAATTCATTCATCGTTGTTTAACATGAGACCAATGTTACCTCTTCACCACTCCAATCCCAAGGAAGGAATGCTCGGTTATTTTTTGAACTAGATAAATGCATTCATTATCGTGAGTCATGTGATCGATGATTACTACTTTACTTTAACTTTAAATTAATTAGATGTAGAACACAAATAAAAAAAGGGTTAAGCTTGGGATTGAACTCACGACCTTCTAATTGGAAAGCGGAAACGGTAACCACTACTCTACTGATTTCGCCTAGTTGTTAGACTGAATCGTTAGTCGAATAATGAATCTAATACGTCGTTTATAATGCATTTACAAATCATGTGCTTACACCATGGACGCATAGTGGTATAATAGCTA